CCGGGCTCAAATTCCCTAATTTTGACTACAAACAACACAAAACTTGAACCAACGCCCGGTAAACATAACTTGAGCTAAAATTGAGACTTGCAACACCTTAAAGCTAGGGAAACCATCAAAATCCGATCTCAACACACATCAAATGAGTGTCAAAATACGGACTTATCAACAAGTTAGAAATAATTTTCCAAAAATTTAATTAATGAAATGGTTAACAATTATTAATTACTATTTCATCATTTTAAACTCCTAATTTTTAGTCAAACAAGGTCAACCCATATTCCTTAACTCAATTCATGCCCAAGAGTAAATTAACTACAATAATTCATTACTAGTTTACATATAAAATAGGCATGATCATAAATAATAACAACAAAGAAAAATATTAAAGTGAATACTCCCAACATTTAAAGTTTCATTTCTTTCACAAATAAACATCATTTATACTAGGTATCGAGGTTATCTAAGTAGGAGATTGATATAACAACAGGAAGTACTTTTCTTGAATAAAAATGGAAAACACAAAAATCTTAAGATTAATTCAAATAATTTTTCGACAACATTTTGAAAAAGAAAATAACGTATTCATAATCTACACAACAAGTTGAATTTTTTTATAAAGAACTTACAAATTGGAGCTAAAAAGAGAAAGATATGAAAGATTGAAGTTCAAGGTCCAACAATGGTGGAAATCCGAGCATTGAGGAGGAAGAATACGCCTTTTTTTTTATCTGAGTTGAGTGTGAGATGGTGTGTTTTGAGTTTTGGATGGAAGATGACTTTTATAGTTGGTGATTTGTGGCAGGCGGCCAGAAGGGCAGCCGCCCTCCGGCCATGGTTGGCAACCTTCTGTCACATCTAGGGGTGCAAATGAGCCGAGCCGCTCGTGAGCCGCTCGTGAGCCGCTCGTGAGCCGCTCGGTCAAAGCTCGGATCGAGATCGGTCAAACTCGAGCTCGAGCCGAGCTCGAGCCGGCTCGTTAAGCAGTCGAGCCATAAACGAGCCTACTGATTTTAGGCTCGCTAGCTCGCGAGCCGGCTCGCTAGCTCGCGAGCCGGCTCGCGAGCCTAGTTATATGTGTGTGTATTTAATTAATATATGTAATATATTAATATACTATACAAATTAATATATAATACGGAGTATATATTAGTATATGTAATATACGAAGTATAATATAAATTATTTTTTTATAAGTTAATATATATATATATAAGGGAAAATGGAAACTAATAATCCAACCTTTTAGCGGTCTTCTTATAATAGTCCCACCTTTTGATTATTCATGAATAATCCAACCTTTGCACCTCATCTTCATTCACTGGTCCCTGACCGGTTGATGACCTACTATTCCAAGTTATTTTCTTATTTTTGCAAAATATTATCTTTGTGAAAGGTGAGATTTATGGTATGATGGTTTGCAAAGATAAGAAAATAACTTGGAATAGTAGGTCATCAACCGGTCAGGGACCAGTGAATGAAGATGAGGTGCAAAGGTTGGATTATTCATGAATAATCAAAAGGTGGGACTATTGTAAGAAGACCGCTAAAAGGTTGGATTATTAGTTTCCATTTTCCCTATATATAATACTGATTCATAAATGTATATGAGGACATGGGAGATATTATTAATTATAAAGTAATTTAACAAAAATAATCAAAGTTTCATCCACTATTTCTTAATGAGTTGACCACTTTTGATTTATATTAGAACTTAGAAGTACAATTGGGTAGAGACTTGAAGTTAGAATTATATTTTATTTATTTTCCCGTAAGGTTTAGTTGTTGGGCATGTAAATTGCAATTTGCAAATGTTAAGCACAAATATTTAAAGATTGTTTCATACTTGAGCTCGAGTTCGAACACGAACTTTCGAGCTAATCGAACTTGTAACTTTTGAACGAACCAAAAGTATGTAGCCGAACCGAGCCGAGTCGAGCCAAATCGAGCCAAATCAATATTTGCGAGCCGAGCTCGAGCCCGGATTTTTTAAGCTCATTCGAGCCGAGCTCGAGCTCGAGCCAATACAATATAATTCGAGCTCGAGCTCGAGCCTACATAAACTCGGGCTCGGCTCGGCTCGTTTGCACCCCTAGTCACATCCCTGACAAAGCTACGTGCACACATTACGTCCGCCGCAAACGTCCACGGAGGGTTGCAGCCTCCTGTCTCTCCTCAGCGACCGAAAACTCATAAATCACACCCCGCCACAGGCGGCCATGGAGAGCTGCTGTCCTCCGTTCCCCGTCGGCTGCCTTCCACTATTTTGTCGCCATGCAAAGTGTTATATGCTGAAACTACCAAAACTCGAAGGCGTTTAGAAAGGCGGACGCCCTAGCGACCGCTTCTCGTCAAATGGAAAGGATTTCTTCACCAAAGTTGTATCTCTCTTTCTGGTTTAACTACTGGAATTTTAATTACATGTTTTGGATGTGTATTTTAAGAGATAAGACCAAAACGGTTGGCACATGTCACTTTTCCATCGCAACTGTGAGCGTCTGACTTATTTGAGAAATATGTCCATTCAACGATCATAATTTGGTCATGTGTTCTTCATAAGAGTTGTATATCAGGAAGATGCCTATGTAATGCAACTCGTATCACGATCGTTGGATCGTCACACACAATGTTATGATCAAAATACAAACATATGTCTCTATGGATCATTCATATTTATCAAAATTGGCCATATAGGCGACCCCTTTCTTGCTTTTTGAGCTTCTTTGCATGATTTCTTCCTCTCATGAACTCTCCTCATTGAATAATTTGTCAATATATCTTTCAAAATTCCGTAGCAATTCATTTGTTTGCAAAAATGCCACTTTCTTCTCGCAATTGACCCGAAAAAGTTAAATCGAATAAACAGACTTTTGATGCATCTTTTCACATGTAAACTTGAAAATAGACAATAATACCTGATATTATGATAATATGCCCTTTTTAATCTCGATTTATATAAGAACACGTTAAAATATGAAGAAAAAGATAACTACAAAATGGACTTATCAAATTCAAATGGGGTTTCACAGGGTTTGGAAAACCTGAAGGTGAAGGGTTTTTTGGCGGTGGGTGAGAATAAAAGGCACTAGGAGATTGCATTTGATATTTGGAGGCGAGGGACAAAGAGTTGGTTTGGAGGATTCAATTGAGCGATTGGGTCGCTCTTGATAAAATCTATTGGGCGTGGGAGGCAAGGCGGAGGTTTTCAATCAAGAGTTTATGTCGGGTTTTGTTAGGAGAGGATGCTATTGACAGGTGGATGGGATGGACTCACATTCAGTATTTTCAAAAGTTCGCAGAAAGTAAAAAATTGTTTTTTGGCAATTGTGTGTGGATTATTTGCAAACAAATGACAACCTAGTGAGTAGACGGGTGCAAGTGTCGCCTTGTTGCGGTCACGTTGTGGAAGTAGTTGAAACAACAAAGTATGTATTTTGTAGATGCAAAGTTGCAGATGAAGTGGGGAGTAGGTTTCAATGTGGTGACTCTGGGGGAGGATGTCTCGTTCTTGGTATTGGTTGAGTTTTTTGACTCAACATTGGACGAATAACAATACAATGGACTAGTGTTGCCATGTTGGCCATAGTTGAAAGGCCTGGGAGGGGTGAATGTTGTGACAAAGGAAGTTGAGATTTTTCACCCAAGGTGCTTAAATTCTAGATAGCCAACAACAAGTTTACACCGATGGGGAAGAATAACAGCTCGACAATGGAAGTTGAGATCTGATGTGGTTTCGACAAAGGAAGTCAAGATGTGATGTGGAGGAAACCAGCTTGGGATAATGTAAAAATTAATACTGATGCGACCTGTAGTAAAGCGGAGGTGCAACAACTTGGGGTGAGTGGCTCGAGATCATTCAGAGTTTTTTTACCAATGGGAGAAATCTTGTGGCAGGGAACCTATCTTCCACATTAGGTGGCCTGGAGGCATTGAGCATTTAGAAAGAGTTTAGCAGGGTTATTACTGAATGCTAGGTATTATCTAAATAGAATAAAAAAACACTACAAGTTATTTCGAGCATCAAGTTGGGAGAGTGCATCAAGTTTCGAGTGGTTGTTGAAGGTATTAAAACGATGATTGGTAGTTTTACTAGTATCTCATAAAGTCATATTAAGCGATTTGCAAACCGGGTCACTCATAGCTTAGTCTGGTTAGACCGTCTGTTCTATACCTGATCACATAGGGATAATGTGAGTTTTAGTTATCCTTCATGTATTTAAGACACCTTGTTTCGTGATTTTATTAATGATAATCATCTTCCCTTAAAAAACTTGTTTTTTATTTTATATTTTATATTTTTTTTACATGTTTATGTTCTTATGGTTTTTACATGTTTATGACTAAATTGGTCTGATCTGATATGATCTTTCATGTGTCATAATTTCTTTCTCCTTTTTGTCGTTTTTGATTAGAATGTTTTAATTGGACTCAATTCAGTCCCACACCAGAACAGGAAAGATCATATCAGATCAGACCAATTTAAACTAGAACAGACCAATTTAAACTAGAACAGACCAATTCAAACAGAGGCAGATCCAGAGTAAAGAATATGCATGGGTCGGATTTAAAGAGCATTGGGTCAAAATTGTTAAGGCCATCCCCTACCTCCGGCATTGAGATCAAACTAGATCAGATTTCATTATCTCCAAAATACACAGAGATCAGACATCTATCAAGCCAGTTCTGACCAGATTACGTCAGAACAAACTAGACTAGATCAAACCAAGAGATTTTAGACTAAGGATGTTTTTACTTGTACTGTTTTCAGTCCCAGACCAGACCTGGTCAGACTAGACCAGTCCAGACAAAACCAGAACAGACTTGGATAGTTATAAAAATATATAGAAACCAGACATTTACCAAACCAATCTTAAATCCTATGAAACAAAATGTCCTACAACAAAATGAAGGCAATTAAATTTCATTATCTCATCCCCAATTGTCACTCAAATTTATCAGGGAAAATTTAAACATTCCACAGCCGACTTGTTTTGGAACAGGTGATGTGCCCAGATGGAATAAAATAGCTTCAAGAAACCCTATCACTCATTTCCCCATCGTCAAATGTTCCTCGCAATTCTTCAACTATGAAGCGGATGTTAAGAGTCTCACACCATGAATTGCTCTTTCACAATTTTTTTGGAGTTCTTACGAAACCCTCTGCGATTTCATCTCCTTTGGGAGCAGCGGCGCAGTCGTACTGTGCTTCGTCATCGTCATCTCAATACGTATGGCCGAATATCGTTGGTCTGTTCGCAGGAAAGTGGAGCTATGGCGATTCATTAATCATGAATGATCTAAGAGATAAGGTCTCGGAGTTGAGGGATGAGCTAGTGATGCACAGCGGCGATGTTGAAATCCTCCATAAATTATTGGAAGAGAAAGGAAATCCATTGTTTCGAAAGTACCACGATGGTGCTGCTGTTATTGAGCTCATGAGGCAGCTAGGTTCGTCCCCTCAATTAGCCATTGAGGTGCTTTTACTCTCTTCTTTTTGATATCTCAATATCCCAGTTGTTGTTCGAATCCAAAGCAGAGTATATTTACGAAACAAGATGACCAAGGAGTGATTTTTTTACTTTTGTTTTAACATTTACTCGAGGCAATTTATCATCTGTAGGTTTTCAATTGGAGAAGAGAAATAGACTATGCCATTCCTATAGTAGCAGAGGAGTATTCCAAGGGCATTCGTATGGCAGGTAGGTTGCAAAATGTTGAGCTTGCTGCACAGATCTTCAGAGAAGCTTCAAACAAGCAAGTAAAAACAACATCCATCTATAATGCACTCATGGGTGCGTACATGTATAATGGTTTGGCTGTGAAATGCCAATCTATATTTGAAGAAATGAAGAAGGAAGGAAGCTGTTCTCCAACGATAGTAACATATAACATTCTTATTTCTGTGTTTGGGCGGTTATTGCTGGTAGATCAAATGGAAGAAACCTATCGCGAGGTTAAAGATTTAAATATATGTCCTAATCTGACTACATATAACTATTTAATTGCTGGGTATCTTACCTCATGGAAGTGGGATTATATGGAGAAGACATTCAGAATAATGCAAGAAGGCATCATAAAGCCTAACTTATCTACATATTTACTTATGATGCGTGGGTATGCTCATGCAGGCAGCTTGGAGAAGATGGAGGAAACTTATGAGTTAGTCAAAGATCACGTTGATCACAATGAAATCGCATTGATCAGAACAATGATTATTGCTTACTGTAAAAGTTCTGATATGAACAAAGTCCGCAAGGTTAAGGAATTGCTGAAGCTAATTCCGGAAAATGAATACCGTCCTTGGTTGAATGCCCAACTTATACTTTTATACGCAAAAGAAGACCTGTTAGAAGAGATGGAAACTTCAATCAATGAGGCATTTGATCATAACACTACCATAATGACAACTAATGTGATGAAAAGAATAATTTCTTGTTACTACAGGAAGAGTACAATGGACAAGCTGTCTAATTTTGTCAAACGTGCAGAGTGTGGTGGTTGGAAAATTTGCAGATCTCTATATCACTGTAAGATGGTCATGTATTCTTCAAATAGGAGGCTTGTTGAAATGGAAAATGTTCTCGATGAGATGGAGAAAGTGAACCTTGACTGGACAAAGAGAACACTATGGATATTGTATCATGCATATTTTAGATGGGGAGAAAACCGTAAACTTGAGCAAGTTGTGGGGTTGATGTGCAAGCAGGGGTTTGGCATGCCATTGTCTTCATGAAGTTTATAGGGATATGCCACAAACTTGAGTGGTAACTTTTATTTCAGGTCATCGCAGACTGTCTTTGTGGTCTTTTTATTTTTGAGTGGAGGATTTATTCTGTCAAGATGTGCCAATTCATTGAACAATTTTTGGAGCTGCATTAGCTTAACCTTTGCTTTTGAGTGGAGGATTTATTCCTTGAGATGTGCCAATGCATTTAACAGCTCTTGGAGTTGTATTTGCTTAATCTTTCTGATACATTTCCTGTATGTGTGAGCAATTAGCCACATAGCTTAGTGCAAAACAAAGTGACATTTCAGAGTACAATGTTACCCCGGACCCCTTTTCTATATGTGTATAGTGACATGTTTTCCCTTTCAAGCAAGGGTTATCGGAATAAACTACTGTTGTAAGTTGTAACTAGGAAAAAGTTACTCCCTTCATTCTCTTTTATGGGTCTCTTTGAAAAGTTGTTCTCTAATAACATTCGCTTTAGGACATTAAAAGATCATCAAACGATCCTTTTCCACATTATCATTCTTCATCCAAAACGCTACTACAGTACTACCTCCATCCCACTATCTTTGAGAAAAGAGGTGGAATGTTTATTAGAAATATAGAATTTTGTGGCTGCTAAAGAATTTTCAAAGAATGACTGAACTTGAACCATACAAATATTGCCTGGACGTGTACTGGGCCTGGGCGCCCCGGGACCGGTAGTGTTTGTACCGGCCTGGGCACGGTCATCCGGGACCAGCACCGACCCAGTACCCAGACCGGTGGGTTAACGGGACAAGCTTCAGGCTCAATTTTATTGGACCGGCCCGGCCGGACCCGGTCCAGGCCCAACGACTTTGCATTAAAAAAATCCATTTAACTTGTTTGGCTGCATACTAGCGGTACGTTGCCAATGGCTATAGAGCCATTGGGGGGGGGGGGGGGGGGGTTGGGCTACATTTTCCTACACCTATTTTCCAATTCTTCCTATTCTCTAATACTCTCTAATCATCTTCATCTTCTCCAATTGTATTATTCTCATTTTAGTTACATTTGAAATTGTTAATAGTAGTTTCATTTTAATTGCATTTACTAGACTTGTTACATTATCATATTAATTAACCATATTTATTAGATATTAATAGTAACCATATTAAAGTTGTTAGATTAAAGTAGTTGCATTTTAATTGCATTGATTATACTCGTCACATTTTATTACTAAACTCACATTTTAGTTACATTTAAATATTAGTTGCATTTTATTATTAAACTCACAATTTAATATCAATGTCACATTTTAGTTACATTTAAATATTAGTTGCACTTTATTATTAAACCCGCATTTTAATATCAAAGTCAGATTTTAGTTACATTTTATTCTTTCTTTCATCTCTTAATGTTATCAACTTGCTATTTTATTTTCTTGATTCACATGCCAAAAGCAAATTTCAGCCTCACAGTTTTGTTTCACATGTTTGCTCTAAGGTTTTTGTTCTAAGGTTTTCAGGCAGCTAAGTTTGTCTATCAGCGACATAGCAAAATATATTTCCAGGTGAAATAGATACGTTGTGGACGATTATGTTTTTATATACATAAAGATAAAGATATGAGAAATAAATAACATAACTATGCATGAAAATTTGACATCAATAAATCATTGTTACATGCCTGTGTTAGATATGGCCAGACCGCCAGACTACATCATTTCAATTAGACTAACTGCAACCGTGGGGTGAATAAGCCATATTTGAGCTTTTCACCCCAAAAATTACTCCAACCCTGCGTGTTGAGTTTAATCCAACACGATATAGTAAATATATGTATAAATGTGTATGAACAAGCTATTTTTACGTGGAAACCCGGAAAGGGAGAAAACCACGGGACTTTTTAGGCTAATGTCCAAGCCCTCTCTTTCTCATTAGGACTCTCCTCACCATTACATAGTACATTTTGAGCTCCCATTAATGGAGTCTTGTAAGCTATTCTAGAGGAAGAAGGAAGAAGGAAGGCCCTTTACATGGAGGGAAAACCTCCTATAAATAGGGAAAGGGGTGAGGGAAGCTCTCCACCCTAATGGGCCGCATGGGCCGGAATGGGCCCAAATGGCTAAAGTGGGCCGGATGGGCCGAAATGGGCCAAACTGCTCGGGCTCCGTACTGAGTAATGTCTTGGGCTCCTGAACAGTGATAGGCCGGGATAATATATCCCAACACAAGTCCCCCAGTTTCTTGAGTAGTGAGTGCGCGAATCTGCTCGAGAAAATATATTCTTGCCTGCGCTCTTCCTCTGTCTTGCTGGAAACTGTGTCTTCACATAATCATAATATATGAGTGAGTGTCTGCACTTCTGAACGTAATCTGCCGGTGAGGCACCCCCCCCCCCCTTCTCGACGGGGTCGGGCGAAGGGTGCTCCTCCACGGGCACGCCCCCCCTGAATGCATCAGGCGGGAGTAAAGGACTCTGACTCGAGCTTTCCAACGGAGAAGCTTAGAGGTCCATGCATATAAAAACCGACGTCGCGGTACTGGCAAGACACGATGCACGTGTGTATGTATGAATGTATGAGGTATGATGCATGAATGCATGTAATGTATGGGTGCAATGTATGAGAGAGGGAATGCAAGATGTGATAGAAGTGGTGGCTCTCATCGATGACCCGGGCATGTCAGCGCCGAGAGGCAGACGTGCTGCATAAGACGGGTCCCCCATCCGGGATGGCATGGGCGGAGCCGAAGGTGGACTAGACATGATGTCGCCGAGGGGCCAATCATGCTGCATAAGAGATGTTCGCCGCCATCCTGGAAGGGATGGGCGAGCCGAACATGAGCCGGGTACGATGGCGCTGAGGGGCCGATCGTATTGCATAAGACGTTCGTCGCCATCCTGGAAGAGATGCGCGATCCGAACCGTGAAGCCAGGTACGATGGCGCTGAGGGGCCGATCGCACTGCATAAGACGTTCGTCGCCACCCTAGAAGAGATGCGCGATCCGAACGTGAAAGAGACACGATGGCGCTGAGGGGCCGATCGTGCTGCATAAAAGATGTTCGCCGCCATCCTGGAAGGGATGGGCGAGCCGAACATGAGCCAGGTACGATGGCGCTGAGGGGCCGATCGTACTGCATAAGATGTTCGTCGCCATCCTGGAAGAGGTGCGCGATCCGAACGTGAAAGAGACACGATGGCGCTGAGGGGCCGATCGTGCTGCATAAAAGATGTTCGCCGCCATCCTGGAAGGGATGAGCGAGCCGAACATGAGCCAGGTACGATGGCGCTGAGGGGCCGATCGTACTGCATAAGACGGTTGTCGCCATCCTGGAGGGAATGGGCGAGCCGAACCGTGAATCTGGACACGATGGCGCTGAGGGGCCGATCGTGATGCATAAGACGTTCGTCGCCACCCTGGAAGGGATGGACGAGCCGAACCGTGAGTCTGGACACGATGGCGCTGAGGGGCCGATCGTGATGCATAAGACGGTCGTCGCCATCCTGGAGGGAATGGGCGAGCCGAACCGTGAGTCTGGACACGATGGCGCTGAGGGGCCGATCGTGATGCATAAGACGTTCGTCGCCACCCTGGAAGGGATGGACGAGCCGAACCGTTAGTCTGGACACGATGGCGCTGAGGGGCCGATCGTACTGCATAAGACGGTCGTCGCCATCCTGGAGGGAATGGACGAGTCGAACCGTGAATCTGGACACGATGGCGCTGAGGGGCCGATCGTGATGCATAAGACGTTCGTCGCCACCCTGGAAGGGATGGACGAGCCGAACCGTGAGTCTGGACACGATGGCGCTGAGGGGCCGATCGTGATGCATAAGACGTTCGTCGCCATCCTGGAGGGAATGGACGAGCTGAACGTGAGCTGGGTACGATGGCGCTGAGGGGCCGATCGTACTGCATAAGACGGTCGTCGCCATCCTGGAGGGAATGGACGAGTCGAACCGTGAATCTGGACACGATGGCGCTGAGTGGCCGATCGTGATACAGAAAAATAGTGATGATCATCTCATGGCCCTCGGCCTGTCGGTGAGCGATAATCGTCTCACGGCCCTCGGCCGTGCTGGTGATGTGTCAAGTCTCTCTCCTGATTGGCTGTGAGAAGCCGATCATCTGCCAGGACTCCATCCGGGAAGGAATGGTGAGCCTGAAATAAATCTGGGCGATGTCCCTCCTACTTGATCTGGGGAGCTGATCGTCGTTCGTCTACCGTATCCGTGGTCCTATGTACGGACCGCTAAGCGGTGTACACTCGGTACGCAACAGACTCCGGTGGAGAACTGGTCCTTCGTGTCTGATCTATGGAGCTGGTCTTCGTTCGTCTACCGTATCCGTGGTCCTATGTACGGACCGCTAAGCGGTGTACACTCGGTACGCAACAGACTCCGGTGGAGAACTGGTTCTTCATGTCTGATCCATGGAGCTGATCTTCGTTCGTCTACCGTATCTGTGGTCCTATGTATGGACCGCTAAGCGGTGTACA